GTGAAAGGCCTCTTGGACACACAAGTAAACATTTACAGACATTTTGGCGTCACTGAAAGATAAGCCCCACCACACGTTTTACATTCTCAAGTAAACACCGCTCTTCCAGTATACATAACAGAGGGGGAATTTATCTAGCAAAGCCCACACTGAGCATTCAGTTTGTATTAAGCCTACAAATCAGAATGAAAAAGTGCACCAACCCCCAGCATTGGGGCCTTTAGATTCTTAGAACAAAGGATGCCTAAGGACTGAATGTAGTGGCAATAACATGGCGGACACTTGATTTTAGTTTGACCTCATTTATTAGATAAATAAATGTCAAATATACAGGGAATGTCGGCAAGCTTATCCCAGGAGTCACAGATACCAAGACAACGGACACAGTGACCAAGATGCACAACAGGGCACATACTCGACATCAGGCGTGCACGGAAATTTCAAGACTCCAAGTCACAGTTTCACCAATTACGATTTATGCATATAAATGTCTCGCTCAAATGAACCCCTATCAGAAATTGCTCTTGTAAAATTATTGTCATTTACTTGTCAAGAACGTACAGTATATGTAACCCGGACAGGCTACGCTGCGTTTCCATTACAGTTACTGACACGGGACAGATCAGGAAACGAGACCCCAATTCAGAGCTAACAGGTAGACAAAACACTAAACAAGAGTCGCAGTTGGGGCTGGGTGTTAAGGTGGAAATGTCGGGTAGTCTGTCCTGGGGGGTGAAAGGGGAAGCAGGCAGGGATATCGGTACAAGCACAGACATTTAACAGGATCGGGACACACAACACTCACCGGGCTGGGGATCAGAAGGGACACTCGCACCTCACCACGAGTGGGAAATCAGGGGAAAGTGGGACAAAATAACACTCGACGACTGGACATAGTCTACGATTCCTCACACTGTGCGAATCGGTTAGAGTGATCAAGCAAGTTAACCAATAAAGGGGAACCAGAATCAGGCGTGAGACACAGCTGAGTGAATGCTCTGGTGAAGGGGACTCGGCGTGTGGAGGTGGCTGAGGTGCGGGAGCAGGACCCAACAACACAGTTCCCATTCAAACAGGATTCTCATGCTTCCAGAAAGCATTTACCCAGAACACATGCAAGCGGACAGCCGGAATTTCCCCTGTCGCTAATGTATTTCCCCTGAGTATCCACTAGGTGGAGCCCTAAAGCAGTCAGGGAAGATCCTCTTCTCTCCACTCATATCCATTTACGCGGAATTATGCTTCGCGAACAATTATCGGGTATGCTGATTTTTCTATATAATGCGAGATAGACGTGCTTTTTTGCTCCATTTATTGAAGTGTGTATTTAAAAGGACATTTCAGGGAAAAGGGGGATTAAGGAAATCTTACAATTATCTGAAAATGTTTCTATAAAATTGTTCTTCATCAGTGACAGTGAAAAGCACAAAGGCCAGCCAGACAAATTGCACTGAATTAGGCTGAACTCTGCACATTCACATTAGTCACATACAAAAGTAACAAAGGCTTCAACAGAAACACTGATCCTCAGCCTAATATTTGGTCCTTAAATAGCTTTTTATTCAGTGGATAATGTAGCAGTGCTGCTTCTTGAGTCCAGTGTACCTGAAGTGTTTTTTTGTACGTTTTGTAAGTAGGGAGCTTTGTCGTGCAGGGAGTAGGCTTGTACACTGTTGGTTTTCACCTCCAGGGTGGAGTCTGGTTGGGGTCCCACTGCGCACTGCATTAAACCTGAACTTCTCTAAAAAGATATGAAGGTTTAGACATTATAAGCTGCTTCTGGCACATGTGTAACTAGGTAACCAAATGTAGGATATACTGCCTTTAACATTACCAGCAATTAGGAATGAAAGCTGAAAAAAAAATTCCTATGTCCCATTTTGGCAAAGCATCTTGGTTTATGGTGATGCATCTTTGTGAATGTAAATGTGCTCTTAAGTTCGTACTCTTGGCCCAAAATGCCTGTGAGAAACAGCTTTGTGCTTATCAGAATAAATGCCTTTTCTTCTCTGGATGTATTCAATCAGTCATCGCAGTCTCGACTACAGAAAAACAGGGCTGAGTGCCTCCATATTCCTCCATTAGCAGTAGTAAGCACCGTTGTTTGTTCTCTTCATGTTCACGTTCCTGCGAAATGCTCTACAAGAAGGTTGCTTATTTTTCTCTCTGGGCCAAAAATGCAGATTCATTTCAAATGATTGGTGCTAAAATGTATTATTTGCAACATTGTAGCTCCATTGTATTTAGGGGTGATTGTGTAATCGATGTGTACTATCCAAATGAAGAGCCAGTTTCCAAAACTCACTCTTTCCTCAGAATTTTTTTTTCGGGAAACTCATCCCATGGACTGCGTGAGTTTTGGAAATGTACTTTTCAAATGACAGTATGGAAGACCTACAGTGTCATCCCAAGCAAGATATAACCAGTAACTGTAGTAGAACATAGCAAATATGCAATGCATACTCTGACCCTGGATAGGATAAGTGGTTACAGAAAATACAATGATGGATGGGTGGATATTTTGCATTACCAAATACTTTTTTTATTTTGAGCTCCAGGTTAGGTTTTCAAGGACTCATACTCAAGCAGTGTACTTCTGTTGCATATAAGGTTATGCTTTCTAAGATGTGCTGCTCACTGAAAAGGCAGATTGATGCTTGTATTGATTTCTCTTGCTCTTTTATAGTTAGCAGCCTAATAATGTTTTCTAGTCTTTCCCCCTGCTACCTGTGGTACTCAGACATCTGAATTGAACATGGGTGTCGCATTCCCATTTCTCAGTGATTCTTGCTCTATCAGCATACTGGCTGAGGGTGTCCGAAACTTGTATTGTATTGCTTAAAGCCCCCATATCTCCCCCCACTAAGTATCACCCAATGAAAGTCCACAGCTTGCCAAAGGGGCCTTTAACACCAGTGTAGATGATTCCCACTTTCAGTAGGAACTTCTGATAAAGCTAGAGGCAGGATGTAAGCAGTGTTGAATACACAGGTCAGCCTGTAACCAAATAACTATGACAGCTGACATTCACAGTGCAAGGTGTACTGCCTCACTCCTACTCTACAAAGTCATTAGTTCATCACAGATGTCCTCCTATACACTGCCATACAAGCCTAAGAGAGGCTTATTTGTAAGTGGAGTGTATGAGTACGCAGTCCTCCCGTTCGGCTTTATGCTGTCTCCAAGCCTTTTTTCTAAATATATGGCTGTCCACCTTTAAAACTAATTAAATCCTGGAGTATACAACTGCAGAGTTGCAGATTGAAAGGGTCTGAGTTTATTAAATAGGCTCGGCCTTAAAGTTAAATCCTGTAACTTCAGCATGAAATGTTATATCATATGCAAACATTTTGTAAACAGAGTTTACCATTTTTAATTAGTACCATTTTATTTATAGTGTTGTAAGAATACTGGACAGGGAAAAGGGCAGCAAGTAAGGATCATAAGCCCTTTAGGCCAGTAGGAACATTGAATAACATTCAGATGAAGGTACTTGACAAGGGGCGTGAAGAAAAAGCAGACATCACTTCTGTCGATTCTAATTCCACGAATGCTGACATCTCTGCTTGCAAATTGGAAGTAACAGCACAGAGATCTGATCTGATTTGCATAGCAGTGGCCCAGGATGTTAGCCAGGTGCATACTGGCCATTGGGAAGTTTGGAAAATTTTTTGGTGGTTTGATCTAATGTTATATAATGTAGCATAGGGGGACCCACCCCCCAATCACCGGCAAATATCCGGGCTGCTTTTTATTGTTGCCAGTCTGCCCTGGTGTTGGCACCACTTACAGAGTAGGAGACGTGCTGGTAGGGGTCTGAGTCCATTGCCAGGCAGCAAAGGGCAAAAGGGGGTGCATCCCGGGTGGGACATTAGTGCTTTATAGGGCACATACACGCAATCATACATCCTGGGGAATTTAAAGTCACTGATTGGCCTACCGGCATTTCATTGGACCTTGGGGGGAATCCGAGGTATACGCAGGAATCCCAGGTGTTGCAGGAAGAGAGTGCCGACTGCACATAGACCCCAACCCGAGGGAGTGAGTCACTGTGCCCCCCAATCATCTAATCAAAAAGTTGTAACACAATTAACCAAATAAATCTTCATAAGCGTGTGATATATTTATTCATATGCACTTTACAGTGATGATACGATAATCAGTTTGTTTTCATGACACTTAACTCTGTTGTGTTAAATTGCACTTTTACATAATAAGCATGTAAATAGAGATGACTGACATAAAATTTCCCTAACATTTTGTCACTAATGGTGGTATTCGGGTTGCAATCAAAGTCTCTTTAGTAAATTAGAAGTTGTGCATTTTAAACATGGTTATGAATATTTATTAAAAGCCATGACACATTATAGCCATGTTTATTATGCATTATGAAAGCTTTTTGAGGCTCTCATCTATAATGCACTATAGATGCCTTCATAAAGCAGTACAAAGTATCCTTAATGCTTATACCGACCATTATAAAGCATTATGAAGGTATCTAAAGTGCATTATAGATGAGAGCTTAATTGGAGCTTATGAAGTATTATAATTAACACTATAATGCCTTATGATTGTCAATAGAAGATGCTGTAATGCTTTATTAATTGTTATAAAGACCATTATAATGCATTATGAAGGTATCGATAGTGCATTGTATGTGACAGCTTTAAGTAACATGTTACGATATATTTTTCCATGAAGAATAAGACCTTTCTGGAAACCTTGTAATTACTTATCTAATATATCAAAAGATGGCACTTACATGGCATATTGCAAAATAAATGTGGCCAAATACACAAAGAGAACATTTTTCATAATTTCATGAGCATCAGGGAATTAGAAATTTAAAAAGTTTGGTGCCCCTATAACATTAGTTAGAAAGCTGAGGGCTGCTGGAATTGCTGTCAATGTCTTGTTTGTGCTGCACAAACAGTTTCAAGTCATGAGATAAGGGAAACTACACCTGGTGTGTTGGTAAACCTGACCTTGAGTAGCTCTCCATGCTGGGATGGGGGGGGGGGAGCAGTGGGAGCTATTCTCATATATATAATACATATGCATGCAATGTAGGTGTAGCAATAGCAATTATAGTATAAGAATCAATACTTATGTAAAAGGACAAATAATCTTTAAAATTACCACATTAGGTATCAGTTTTTTTCCCTTGAAATGTTTGCTTCTTTTTTTCACATTTATTGAACATGGAAAGTTTATTGAACAAAGATAGATGAAGAATGTGCACAGATGTGGTTCCTTGGAGCAATTGTGAGAGGTATAGGACAGAAGAGCAGGGCCCTGTATCAAGGACCTTGAAGGGTAGCAGGATGAGAGAAGCTAACAAGAAACATCTCGTCATCTGGTGCAAGGATGTCACTCGTAGAAAAGGTAAATAAATCAGAGATGGGCAAATGAAGCTTCATGAACCGCTTGCTGTATTTTTTGACCCCACTAGATGGTGCTCTTGGTTTCCTTTGGGGCATGCTTTGAGTCTTTTTATAAACAGAGAGCACCATCTAGTGGGATAAAAAAATACAGCAAATGGTTCATGAAGCTTCATTTGGCCATCACTAATAAAAATGGATGCTGATTTGTGAGCGGGGGCTTCTTTCCTTCGCATGTGGGGAACCCCCCCCCATGCCCACAGACAAAATAAATGGGAAACTTCTCGTACAATAAGGTGTCTTATTTCTCTCCATCCAAAATTTCTGAATATCACATCTCGTAAACACAGACAACAAATACAACAATACAACTAAATTGCTGCAGTAAATCCAAGCCCTTCTCAAAACTTATTTTCTTTGCCAAAAAATCAAATAAATCAGGATTCACAGAAGCAGATCAAATCTGAAAGAACAAAAAAACAAAAATCAGCAGTGAAGTCCAAACACATGATCGCAGTAGCTTCCGACGTACAGTGACGGACTCTGAGTCTCCCAGCGTTCAGGTTTTTATTTTGTCACCACACCACTCGTTGTGATGAACGGCACAAAGTGCCACATTTCTGCATTTTCATGCAGCTCTATTCCCGCGAGGCTGCAGCTTCAGTTAAACAATTTGTTCCCCTTGCCCAAAATCTTTTAGAGTGATGAAGACTTGAGAATACCATTGTGTTTGCCAAACCATAAATTTATGTTCAATGTTATACATTATGTATATTTATTTAGCAGATATTTAGTATAAATTATTTAGCAGGTACTTTGAACCAAAGTGACATAGAATTGTGAAAGCCAGATCAGACAGTTCGTGGCACAATTGGGGGTAAAGGGTTTCGATCAGGGGCACAGCAGTGAAATCACTCCTCTGACCCTGAGATTTGAACCAGCGAACTTCTGATCACAGGCGCATAATGCAGTGTAACAATAATGCATGATGTTTACACGGCCATTTGCCAGGCATGAATCATACCCAATGTCAGACGCTGGTGCAGTTAGTGGACAGCTGCGCCTCCATCTTGTTCCTCGCCTCCTTGGTGTTGCCCTGGGAGCAACTGCCCCTGCCCAGCTCGCACCTGAAGACCTGCGCATAGGCCTTCCTGAAGTTCTCCGACAGGAAGGCGTAGATGATGGGGTTCACCGAGGAGTTGCTGTAGGCGAGGCAGTGTGCCACCACCCGCAGCACGAAGGAGGCCTGGTTTAGCGGGAAGGAGCCGAACTCCACCCAGAGGTGCACGACATGGTGAGGCAGCCAGGACAGGCAGAAGACCACCACCACCACCAGGACGGTCTGAGCAGTCTGGGCCGGGGGCAGCAAGAGCGACATTTCAGTATGGTGTCTCCACTTAAATCGGAGGGAGTAAGAGCTGCAAAAAACCACTCGATGAAGTCAGAGAGCATAGCAAAATGTGTGTGTGTGTGTGTGTGTGTGTGTGTGTGTGTGGATTTCCATAGATGTCCCCCAAAATGTCCCAAAAGTGTGATAAAACCTGAAACTTCTCTACTTTTGGGGACATTTTTCAGGTCCCCATTTGGATAACCTCAATTTTAAGAACATGTATGAATTAATTAAAAATGTAAAAATGCCAAATGTCTTGTATTTTGTCTGGTTACTTATGGTTAAGGCTAGGGGTGGGTAGGGGTAAAGGGTGCTGTGACTGGGATTAGGGGTGATTATGGGTTTTTCCAATAGAAATGAATGAATGATCCCCATTTATATAGGCATTTAGATAGGTAGATAGGCGTTTGTGTCTCTGAGAGTGGTTTTGCATATATTACATCGTAAGGAAACAATGCCATAAAACAAAATCCACAACGTTTGGCTATTTTAATTTTTTGATGACAGTGACAGATTTTTTATAAAATTGATTTTGCACAAGGTAAAAGGTATCATTTCAGGACAGTGTGGGGACATTGTTTCCCCGAAATGTAATATATACAAAGCCACACACACACACACACACACACACACACACAGAGGGGGCGTAAAAACCAGTATGGAAAAGAATATATAGCGTATATACCTTTCTTTTAGAAGCTTCTGACTTCTTCGAAATGCCTCTCAGTTTTTTGTGTAAATGACTTATTACCTATAAAAAAAAACATGTCAGCTACTTCAGTGAGTACAATTCACATACTTTTAGAGTTTAATAAAGAATCAACACGCGGAGGTGAATAATACTAAAGTATATTATAGCCTACTAAAAATTTTACTAAAATGACTGTCATATCACAGCTTGATGTAGACATTACAAATGTTATTTTCGGCTTTTCCTTTACACGACGAGGAATACTTTTTTGATAAATATTTGCTGTATAATAAAGTATGACGCTCACTAACCTTTGCGTAGCAGAAGGAGATGAGAAGTAGGGGTAACATATAACCAAAGACAAACGTACACACGGCATAGAGCTTCTTTCGGTTGTGGTCCGGCCACACTTCCCAACAAAACGTGCTGTTATCTCCCCTCCGGACAATGCTCTGGTAGTAAGCGACCGGAGCTGCCATGGTAAGGGAGATCATCCATATGGTGATTACCCCGGTGAGTGCATGCCTGGCCACCCGTAAAGAGGTGGACTTCCGAGAGTGTACGATGGCAATGTAGCGGTCCACCGACATCGCCGACAAAGTGAAAATGCTGACCAGCATGGACACTGTGAAAAAGTAGTGAATGAATTTGCAGATGATGGCTCCGAAGACCCACGTCGGGAGCATGTACACGGTCGATTGGAAGGGTATGCAGAAAATCAGGTAGGACAGATCGGCAATGCTCAGGTTGAGGATGAAGATGTTGGTCGTGCTGCGAGGCTTGCCAGGCTTACTTCGAGCCAGCACCGTGATCACCAAAGAATTGCCCAGCACCCCAAGAGTGAAAATGAGCCCAAATATCAGCAGCGTTATCAAGTTATCGATGCCGATCCCAAACAGAAGTTTTTGGGTCGATTCCCCGGCGTTCGTCAGGTTGCCACACAACAGTCCGTCACTCTGGTTATTTACAGCTGACAGATCCATCACTGGTAGCTGGAAGTACTAAAACAGGCTCGCCCGACAATTACAAGCAAACTATAGGTTTCCGTTATTTCCATGTCATTAACTGCCAATAAAAATAAATCGCATCCCAAAAATGAACAGGAGTCGCAATACTCAATGTAATAAATTGGTTTGTTTTTTTGTCATTTTTTTAGTTATAAGGTTATATGATTTTGTGCTCCTATGTGTTAACGATAAGTATAGCCGCTTGATCTGCGCCCTTCCCTCTGCGCTTTGCTCCCTCCACAGTCCCCCCTTCTTCTCCTCCTCCTATCTTCCGCCGTACTTCCTCTTGTCTGGAAATACAGACCCGGACGCCCCCGCAGCACGTCAACCTGCAACTCCCAGGAGTCTGACGACGGAACAACCCATTCCTTTATTATAAAAGTGGGTAAGTTAAGTATGGCTCTCGCTGTTGCTGGTAAGTCTTCGGGCAGTGGCATGGTCGTAAATTACGGGGGGTAATAATCAAAACCGCCTGAATACATATGGGAGGCGACCTCAACACTTCCATAGTATTTATTTATGGCCACTTTTCCGGGTTTTGATTTCTAAGCAGAGTGAAAAATGCCATTTAAAAAAAAAAAAAGGTCGGCTTTCAGTGATTGACAGGCAGCCTACACATACTGCACCCCAGTTAGGGTCGTTTTAATTAATTCTGTGCCATGGTTTGGTACTATGGATTACCAAAAGGTGTTGGACCGTACTTCAGGTTAATTCCACTTGCATATCGGCTGACACTTTCTTTAATGAAAAAGTGTAAACCTGATTTACCTGACAAGTAACTAAAAATATAGCCTATTTTAACTGGATATCTTTTCCATCTAGTAGAGCTGTTCAATCGAATGGGAATTATGTATAATCCACTTTTTTTTTCCTTTGGGGTTATTTAAGAGAGATTACAGATTTAAAAAGCACACATTTCAGCTATTTTGTTTAAATTTATCTTAAAATAGCTTTGAAATGCACTTCTACATGATGGAATATGTCGTTTAGACCACAAAAACGATTCAGTCTGTGCAAGGGAATAGGTTTGGATATGGACAGCAAAGGTGAGACCGTACCAATGTGGGAGTTCCGTGTTTGTTTGGGGAGGGGGAGAGAGGTTCAGGGCTGATTTGGTCCCTACTAATGCTGACGCCTGGAGCCGTATACTCTGCACACCTTCTAAAATGTTATGAGGTCCTTTCCTATGACATGAACTTGGTCCGATTGTAGTTTCTCAGAGGCAATTCTGGAACCCTTTTTCAGTACCTACTCCACACTAAGTACTTTTTGTTTGAGCACAAACTACTGGGGGGGCCTTACATCGATGGCATGCTGACTAGATGACCACAAGCACCGGAGCTAACTTGGAAGTTTCTGCGGAACTGCAGGGAAAAGGGATGGAAGTAGGGTAGCAAACATTGAACGTATGAAATTATTTTTGCACCTCAATTACATTTGATGCATTACTGAAAACCTTTTTGCTTGATATGACCTGGTCATATTGATTATGTCTCTCGGCTGGCCTGGGAACACCTTGGAGGAGCTGGAGGAGGGGGCTGGCAAGAAGGAGGTCTGGGCATCCTTGTTTGTACTGCTACCCCGTGACCCAACCCCAGAAAAGTGGCAGATGATTGATGGATAGATGGATGGATGGATGACCTGGTCTTGTTTCTTGCTTACCTATCCTACATCTGGACATTGGTACTTCTCTGAAATGACATACTCTGTATTTCACTGGGGGTGTGATTTCATGGCTCCAAAGCAGTACTTGAATAGTAATTGAACAAAGTTTTAAACATTATTTATGTGCTGTTTCATCAGTGAGTCATTTCGCTAAGGAGCCCGATCTTTCCATACAAACGTGGGGGAACGCGCCTTCCGCTGCACTTCTCCTGTGGAGCACAACGTGAGCCTTTAAATGAAACCCCAGCTTAGTTTTACTTGCTTATATGTTTTGTTTACAGCGTTTTGTCAGAAAAGCGTGTGATTGCAGTTAATGGGTCGATGAGGCAGCGTGAAACTTATAAGCAGATTAGGTTTATTATACTTAACTACTGATAGCTGAAGTGATGAAATTAGCTGTAGAACAAAACATATGCAAAAGGCAGTAATTTTAGCTACTTTTTAGCTACTTTTTAGCTACTTTTTAGCTAATTTTAGCTACTTTTGCACTTTGTTAAATAAATATTATAGACGTTAATCTTTCCATGTGATGTTCAGAGTTGGTTGAATAAAATCACTCATAATTTAGCTAAATAATGCTGTGAGCAGTATGATTCGGGGATTAGACTCAGAACCCACTGGGCGAGTCACTTTCCAAGGGGCCTCCAAACCACTCTTGGTTTGAGCATCTGGATCTTCTAGGCATGGTGATGTCATTGATGAATATTTAATGTCTCAGCTCTGATTGGTAGCCATTCCCACCATCTGTCAGAATCAAGCTTAGAGACGGCGAATCAGATCAAGCTGGCTAGATTCATCCTTCTCTCAGCATCTGTATGGTGGCAGGTGGAATCTAGCGGATGGTGCGTTCTATCGCTTGGTGAAGCCCTCAGTCCGAGAGGTGGGTGTCTGAGGTTAGGGGGTATATACTACCAGTTAACCCCACCCATTTGATCTGTGCATCATGCACTGAGGGCGAGACCTATCAGAGTTATCTGTCTTCTGTTGCACTATTTTTAATGTTATTTATTCTATTCTACTATCTTGTTTAACACTATTGCTTTGCGTGATTCTTGCACAGAGACACTGAAGCTGATGTCGAGTTTTCCAGATAAGGAGAAATTAAGCAAGACCAAACAGAACCTCTGAATAGGGAACCTACTATACCCAGTCATGCTGTATTTTTAATTTTAAACAGATATGCTGAAAAAAAAACTATATTTCAAAACTCTTACTCTGCTTATTCTGTATTCAGGGGTAATAATAAAAGTTTTTGTTGATACCTTATCACCAGTTCACAGCTCTGTTCCCAGCTGTGCCTGAAATGATAAGAGAGACTCTGTGAAACAACAGTGACATCATATAAACCGCATTACTACATAATATTAGTTTGCACAGCTTTTAGGATGATTAAGGTAACTTCAGGCATACAGTAGATGGACTTCGGAGGTGGGGGGCGATGCGCTGATCCTCAAGTTAACGACAAACTTGATTCTGTTTCTTCAAACTGGAGTTTCACTACCTTCTAACTTCAGATTAGAATAATCCTCTTTGGTGCTGTTTCATGGTCTCAAGCAAATGGACAGAGTAATGGGCGTGGCCTGTTGAACTGGAACAGAATCTCTAGGCGTCTGTATTTATCCTGATATATGTGCTACTTATCATGTCCAACGAAGTAAATAAAATGTGAACTGCCATTCATGTTTCTAATTATTTTAATTTGGCCACAATTAAGTTGCTTTGAGTCCTAGCACCTCTTGTTCCATCTCTCGTGTCCCACAGTATGTGGATTAAAGGTAATATTAATGATGCTTATATTAGAACCCCTTTTATTAGCTGGTTTGTGCATTTTGATTATAATGGTTATTGCAGATGGACAGTAATGCAGCTTTTCATTGAAAACACAAGTAAAAGTGAGCAACGTACCCACACAATGGCAATGTCATACACTGGTGTGGACATTTAAGAAACACAAGCCAGTTAACAGCAATCATCAGGGAACTGGAAGGAACCCAGGCAGCATACAACTAAAGGCAAGGGGTGCTCTGAACTGGTTGAACTGGAAGTTCAGCATACCCGCAACCTAACACATAACACACCATAACTATGGCTGCTGGTGCTGCTGTACGTGCCGTTTTTATCCACTATGCTTGTCCATTAATGTGTCTGTGCATGTTCTGACCCTCCATGCTCTCTGCCTTCCTTCCCACATGTCCGGATGGTGCTTGGGGTGGGCTCCATCTGAGCTGGAGTCCTGGCTCAGTCCCATGGAGGGTGCCCTCCTGGATGTGATCGTGGGTGCAGCCTTCAATCTGCCACCCTACACAGGCCGGTGTGGGGAACTGACTCATTGATAGCTTTGCCCTTGACCACAGTCTATACCTTGCTTTTAGCAAGCAAGCCCACTCTTTCTTTTTCTTATAATGTTAGCATGGTTGGGGGGGTTGGGAAGCCAGTTGTCCTTGGACCCCAAAAGTTTTATTTCCTCCCTATTTGGGAATTTTTGGTTCCGTTGTCTTCTGGCTTTCATTGTTTCTTTTCTTTATATCCCCGTGTTTGTATTATTTTGCATAAATTATGTAGTAATTTATCACAATACACTGATGTAAAGTGCCTTGTTGTGAAAGGCGCTATATAAAAAATAAATTGAATTGAAGTGAAGGCCAATCCCTAGCAGGAGAAAACTGGCGCACCCAGTACAAACCCAGAAACCATGGGGAGAACATGCAGACTCCACACGCACAAAGGAGGTGCAGGATTCAAACTTCCCAAGCCTGGAGATGTGAGGTGACAGTGTAGGCACTGCATGTTTGGTAATCATCACGTCTGGAGTGTCGAATGCTGGCACAGTCTGACCATGCCTGGGATAAGCAGGTGGATGTATGTATGGATGGATGGATGTTATCTAATTTGGAGTTTAAATGACTTTTTCCTTCACTATAGAGCAGGTGAAGATGAAGTTGGTGGTTTGAAATGCCTCATTACCACAACCTCACTGCAGTCCCACACTATTCCAAGTTAACTGCACCACAGTGCAATCAATGACAAGAGGGAACTATGTGGTTTTGGGCAAAGCAGGTTAAGCATGTTCTCATGTTCCGCTCATTTTCATTCTCCAGAGAGCAATGTGTTCTACAAAACAAACAAACAAACAAACAACCAAATATATACATTGTATGAAGTTTCAGGATATCCAACGGGCAATGACTCAATGACACTGTAAAAAGATCAAGTCTTACTTGTCACCTTTATGCACTGCTGAACTCTCTCTGAATTTTAATTATATATAAGGAAAAAAATTCTTCAGCCTGGTCCCTATGTTGTTTACCCACCTCTCTTCCCAGATACAAACACATCCTGCAAATAGCCCGGATTTCCATTGAAACTCACAATTATACTCATTTTACCAAAACAAGAGCACAAAAACAAAATTCTAGACATACAGAAGGGGCTTTGTGGAGCAGTGCTCATTATGGCTCTTCATCAGACTGATTATCATGTCTGATTCCTGGGAGGTCTTAACTACCGCTCTGTTTGATTATGTCCAGGAAGCATAGGCCGCGGTAGGGGGTGATTTGATCGTGATCGTAGGTCTGTTCGGGACATCCAGAAAAACGGCGCAATTACGTATTAAATTATCTGCATCTCATGTAATTTGAGCCACAAATGACGGGCAGAC